ATCGTAAGTGATATTTTGGACAGGATGGGTGTAAATAACCGTAATTCCAAATAACCGTAGTTACCCTTAATATCATTAGTCAACTGGAGAAATGTGAAATGTATTGCAAAAAAATTGGATTTACCAGAAAGGTTTCAACCTTTAAAGTCGTTTTTCTCCACAATTAAAAAATGTCACTTACGATGTTTTTGCCCTAACCCAACGATATGTTAATTCCGAAATGACCTAGTCTGCATCGTGTGGACTTTAAGGGCCATCTATATCTGGATTTGGCTAGAAATGCAGCACTTAGAACTATAATAGTTTTGTTCTGAAAGCAGGAAACATTAGGGCGACCCTATTCTGTTAAGGTCTACAACCAAAATCTATAGTTCATACCATTTTAAGCAATCTAATTAAACTACAAATCTATATTTCGTTTCATGAAAATCTGGCCGGTTCTAGTGGAAGGTCGCGTCAGGGTTCGTACCAGTGACTTTTGACCCTATGACGTCAGACAATGATTAATCAAGTGGCTAATCCCTCACTTCAACCAGAACCACTCTTCGGTATAATATCCTAGTGTTTTGAACGCAAGTAGAAAGAAACGAAATAGGATCCGTGTTTTCATCAGATTGCGTTTTAAGAAATCAAAATTGAGCTTACCTAGATTCTTATTTTGTGCTGGCTCATTGAATCTGTCTTGAGATGGATTGTTGGTTCTGCCATTTCGTGGTGGAGTGTATCTATCTCTCGGTGGGATGTATCGTTCTTCTGGAGGAGAATATTGACGATCTTGTGGAGGACGGAAGTTTCTGTTCTGTGAAATAGTGTTCGCCACCAGACAAACAGCTACCAGAAATACAATATCCAATGCTGAATTCATCTTTATGTTTGTCTTTATTAACCTATAACACAAGATAATACATGTGACGAGTGTAGTACACGAGACTGCGTATGCTTACAAAGGATGAAAAAAAATGAAATAGAGTTTCACGTTCTACTTTTCCGCACCAACCGGGATAATTAAGACGGACATACGCCATACAGTGTGATATGAGGAAATGTTATTATCCGGGAAGCAGTTGCATTCTAACTGATGAGGGTGCTTTTAAGTGAACACCGCCAACATGTACACGGAACCTAGATATTTCGTCCTCCCCGAACAACTAGACGCTGTTCCGTTGCGCCACTGACAAGGGGAAGTTCCAGCGAGGAACTTACTCGGTCAACACCGGGGTCGAACCGAGTTCCTCCTGGTTAGGGGATGACGTGGCTAAGTGGCTAAGACGCTGGCTCGCTAGCCTGGAGGTCGGGTGTTCGATCCCTGCATTGGCCGAGAAAATTCATTCAGATTTTCCGGCGTGGTTTCCCCTTGTCAGTGATGCAGGATGGAGGGCCTGATAAGAACAGCTGTCTAGTCGTTCGGATGGGACGAAAAACCGAGGCCCCGTGTACACATTGGAGTGCACGTAAAAGACCCCTTGGCAGTTGGAATTCATAATATAAGAGTAGGCCGTAGCGCCGCTGACCGGGCAAAAATTCCCTCATAGCACACTGTATGGCGTATGCCCGTCTTCATTAGCCCATGTTAGTAGCAGAACAGTAGGACGTTAAACCCATTTCATTTCATTTCCTCATGGTTAGCACCCCGCGCTCTACAAACTAAGCCACCATAGCTTCTCTTAAACAGGCATTAAGTAAGCTTAGATAAAGAGCTGACAGTTCTTCTTCTCGTTATAATAGTTTAAAAAAAATGGATAATGAAAACAAAATATGCTGAAACTTTCAGTCAAATTGCTTCACCCTGAAACGAGATATATGTAATTCAGTTTTAGTCTCGGTCGTCATTACTAGCGTTGGTATGATAATAGTCTCGATAGTCCACTTTTACGATAAATTATCCATCAGAAAATATATTTAAAAAATCCAGTAAATATCGCAGACTAGCGATGACATCGAGGGTTGATTATGGTGTGGATAAGTTAATTAATGTCTAATTAATAATTTAGATAACATTTCAGGCCCAAAGAAAGATCTGCAATAGAAACATTTAGCTCTTGCATAATATATGTTTAAGCAAAAGAGATATTCGTGAAACTGAATATTTACCTGTATGTAATTGTTTACACCTGTCGTGAGTCGATGTATTACCACGTCTAATGTTCACCGTATTTATACCTTCAGGTGAATAATGAGTTTCACATTTATATAAATTAAAATGACAGAATTATTACCGGACGAATTCTGAATGTTTCCTGGTTATTTCAGTCCAACTACGATAATATTTATGGTGCGATCCTATATTTCATTCGGGGGGGTTGGATGGCTGAATGGTTAGCGTGCGCGCGCTGTATCATAAAGTCTGTCATTGAATCGACTGGCGTGGTTTCGAATCCCCGGTTGTACGTGACAAGGAGTAGGGTTGCCTGTCCAACCTCGTGGGTTTTCTCCGGGTCCTCCGGTTTCCTCCCACTGCTAAAGACCCCAAAGCGAAAGCGAATTATTGAAAAAAAAATTAAATCATATTAGTCCCGAGTGGACGTTAAACCCCATTTCTCTCTATATATATATATTTCATTCTTGGCGGATTGCTGTTTACTATAATCCCGTTATGGTCCTTTGCATCGGTCCACTCGGCACAAACTAAGTCATTTCGGGACTAACATATGGTTCAATTTTATTTCAATAATTCAATGCACTTATGGGTCTTTAGCAGTGGGAGGAAACCAGAAAACACAGAGAAACCAACGAGGTTGGCCAAAGCGATCCTACTCCTTGTCACGTACAACCGGGGAATCGAAACCACGCCAGTTGACTCAATAACAGACCTTATGATACAACACGTACGTGCTAACCATTCCGCCATCCAACCCCTGATGATGTAAGCATATTCATTTTATTTATCGTATATGCTGAATTTATTCCTGATATACATTAAAAACAAATGAACATTGATTCGGGAGAAATTTTACTAGAGCATATAAACGTTTTGAATACAGCATGTTATGAATGAACAAGAACTGATTTTGATATATACTGAATGCACTAAATATCACGGGATAACACAGACTTCACATTAGGCAATATTTTGACATATTGCAATATATAATAACAATTATTAATGGACTTCCTGTCAGCATGCATATATTTAAAAAATTAAAACAAAAATTATAAAGGTAAATTTCCTTCTTATGAGATGCATTTTATATTTAGGGCGTCTCCGTTATATGAATATATTATGTTCTTTTATAGGGGTTACGGTGGCTAAACGGATAAGACGCTGGCTCGCTAGCCTAGAGCTCGGGTGTTCGATTTCTGCATTGGCCGACAAAGTTCATCGGGATTTTCCGGCGTAGTTTCCCTCATAGCAGACTGTATGGCGTATACCCGTCTTCATTAGCCCAGTATAGGAGCAGAACAGTAGGACGTTAAACCCCATTTCATTTCTTCTTTTACAATAAATCAGGCGGATGAAATGCATCTCGTCATTAGCTATGAGTATCACCAAAAGGATATTATTAAATCATGTAGCTACGAGGGAAATTTTGCCCGGGCAGCGGCACTATGGCCTACTCTTAAATCGAATTCCAACTGCGAAGGGATCTTTTACGTGCACGCCAATGTGTACACGGGACCTCGATTGTTCGTCCTTGTCAGGCCTGAAAATAAACAGGTACACACGTTTTAGAATGGCATAGTTTTAAAATGTAAAATGACCACTTTAAAATAACACACAGAAAGTGCCACAAGATTCATTAGGGGCTCTAGAGGAGATGTTGGTTCGAGCTAGAGTTACGGGGATGTAATAGCTCAAGCAATGCAACAAGGAGTTGGGTCAAATGCAGGGGCGCCGGAACCCGGGTACCAGGGTATACAAATGGTACCCTACCCTTTTCTGGGGTATACGTGTATACCCATGCCCTAATGATGGAAGTTTTCAACCTTTTTACTCGTCTAAAAAGGAATAATTTTCTATCGTTAATGTCCCCATTAATGATCTATTAAGAGTATGCCACTCGGCAAACCTCGGCAGACTCCAGTATCCTACATCTAGTCTCGGCTGTATGACGAATTCCGCCATTGAAACTATACGACGTATTATTATATCAATCTGTCTCTTACATTTATGATTTAAATTAACTTTGGAATCGATGGTAGTATATTATACTTACCACGTGTTACTCAAAAATCGATTGGCTGCAGTCAAAAGAAGCGAATATAATAGAGGTCACATATTTCCAATCCTTTACAACAGTTCAATTAATAAAATGTGTGTCTTTTAGAGATTTCTTTTGAAAAATCTTATTTTCTTACGGTCAAGGCTTTTTTCGGTGTTCATTTCGGATACATTGTGTGCTTTCAATCCTTTCACTTCAGTTCGTTTAAGACAAATACAAATTTCTTTTGGAGCTTATTTTTAAAAATCAGTTTTCGCTCGGTGTATTGTTTTGGAGACTTGTTACTTATTCTAGTAACACAATTCTGTTATTATGAACAAACGTGTCGTTTTGTATCCCTTCGTCTGTGTTTGTGTTTTGTCGGCTTTGCTTTGTGTATATTTTATGACTTGTGTTCAACAACCAACCCCGAGTCTTAAAGCCGCAGAAACTCTCGGAAAATTGGTAACTCCAATTCAAACGGAAACCATCCTGAAAACTAACAGCACTTATAAAATAGACCATCCCGAGAAAAGCATTTATAAAATAAATGATCTCGAGAAGAATGAAAATCATTCACTGAAAAAAGATCAAATATCTCAAATCAAGACAGGTGCCGAGAAAAAAAGGACACTTTTTCTGGGATTAACGCAAATTTTGGGTCGGTTGGGGAATCATATGTTTTACTACGCCTCCTTAAGAGGAATAGCGGACGCTATCAACTATACACCCATTTTAAGTAGAACAGATCCTATACTTGAATTGTTTGAAATTAATTTGAATAAATCTGTTAGTACATTGACCCTGCACAATAGTGTTACGAAAAGTGAAAAATGTACAGGAATTTTTACCGAAGATCTGATGTCACCTATAAATACAACTGCTAATATAACATTGTCTGCTTACTTACAATCGTTTAAATATTTCCAAAAAATACAATCAGATATCCGAAAGGAGTTTATCCTGAAAGCGGACATTGGGGCTCGAGTCAAACATATTTTTAACACACTTAACATAACACATCGAATAAAGGTTGGGGTTCATGCCAGAAGAGGTGATTTTGTACGTTTGCAAAGGGAAAGATACACGCTACCTACCCCTTTGTTTTTTTTACAAGGCTATGGATATGCTGAGGCAGAATTTAACAAATCCAATATTTGTCGTGTGTTCAGATGATAAGAAATGGGTGACAGATTATTTACAATTTAACGATTCGGTTATTGTTCATGAAAGTGTAGAAGTTGATTTTGGAGTATTAATGAGTTGTGATCATAGTATTATATCATCTGGAACTTTTGGTTGGTGGACCGCCTATTTAACGAAAGGTACCAGCATTTATTTTAAAGGATTTCCTTCGTCCCCTCTACTTGGATGTATATCTCCTCCAGATTATTATCCATCTCATTGGATTGGACTGGAGTAATCCATTTACTTGAATTGAACTCAAAATTGGACTCGAGTAATCCATTTACTTGAATTGAACTCAAAATATCTAGTTAGCACGGACTCCACTATTCCATCTAATTGGATTAATCTAATTATCATGGACTTAAATAATTAATCTAACTGGATTAATCTAATTATCATCGATTTAAATAATTAATCTAACTGGATTAATCTAATTATCATCGATTTAAATAATCAATCTAATTTCATTGGACTATAATAATTTAGCTGGATGGATTTGCATAACATATTAAGAAAAGCATGGACTCCAGAAGTGGCATATGGTATTTAAGGAAAAGTAAACAGAAGTAGCATCACACATTTCAATGGATAAGACTAGTTTATACATTGTAGTGGAATAAATTAATTAAACCTCTGTGCGCCATTGGCATGTTTACGAAACTATCAATTTTAATGAACGATACTAATTAACATACTTTAATGAGGTGGTCGATTTACCCAATAGTAATTAACCCTTGTGGGTGCACGTTGTAAGAATCACATAGCAGGTATCATGTGGTCCATATGGATCCCAGTTAAAATTCAAAGTTGTTACGCACAGATATATTTGAATTAAAAGGCAGAAGTTTTTTTTTTTGCACTCATATTTGACATATGAAAAAACAACTAAATTATTATCCAAAAATATTTTAGTGACATATGGAAAAGATATAATAATTCTCACAAAATTGTTACTTTGTGTACTATGTGATAAAGAGGTTAAATGGCAATTCACGCTTGATACAAAAACCATTGAATATAAGCAAACACATTAGCAAAATCACTTCTGTGGGTTATCAGTTCGGGGTCAGACTGGACCCCATGTTCCCTTCAAGCATTGGGCCTGATTTGCATGTAACATAACGCTGCATGTGGCAAGCAGATAAATACCGATCTCTTCGCTACGTGTAAAAATGTATAGGAGACAAAGTCAATACATTTCAGAAAGCAGTACCCTGTAGTTATTACACCAGACAGGATACGCCCACATTTTCGAGAGATGGATAGAGAATAAGCTAAAAAAGAAAGTGATTTTTCGTACAATCAGGGGCCATAATTCAGGAAGTTACTGTCCGATATGCGCGAGTATGGAAAGGAACCGAGATCTTTGGGTTATAAACTTACATTTCAAGTTTCATCACAATCGGATTAAAATTGTGACCTCTATAGGGTACGCTATTTGAGAACGAAGGGCGGCCATTTTGTCTGTCAGTTTTGGGCCGATTTTCACGAAATTCGACCCCATGCATCCTTAGGGTTTAACGGTGATATAACAATAAGTTTTCCTCAATCGGATAAAATTTATTACCTCCATTGGGTCCACAAGCTAAAATCTCAATTTTTCGTACAATCAGGGGCCATAATTCAGGAAGTTACGTTCCGATATGCGCGAATATCGACAGGAACCACGATCTTTGGGTTATAATCATACATTTCAAGTTTAAACTAAATCGGATAAAAATTGTGACCTCTACAGTGTTCACAAGCTAAAAACGTGATTTTTCGTACAATCAGGGGCCATAATCCATGAAGTTACAGTCCGATACATGCCAATATCGAAAGGAACCGAGATCTTAGAATGATAAACCTATATTTCAAGTTTCATTGAAATCGGATAAGAATTGTGACCTGTAGACTGTTCAGTCACAGGGGTGACGACAATATACGTCCACATGAAAATGTGGGCGTATAAAAACACTATAAAACATGTGCACGGGGCAATCCAAATACTTCTCGGCATTTAACTATATATTACCTTGTTTAATATTTATTTAAAAATGTAACCACCATTCAAAATATAATCATAAAGGCTAGAAAATGACATAGTAGATTCGTTACGAAATTCAACACGTTTCATATCTCGTAATTTCTCGCGAAAATTCTACTTCAGTACTTGCAAGCCCGAAATGATTTCTTTACTGTCCAATCAATAGACGCCTTCCAATTTACTTTATTCTATTTTAAGTAACATTGTATAATCAAAATATTATCGCCATGTCACGTACGGCGGGAAACAGAGTATTGTCTTGAATATTTATCGTAGATATTGAATTAAACAAGCCAACAGTGAGGCTGATGTCCCCCGCCGAAATCCTCAAATAAATAGATGACACATATTAATTAATCGCACATCTATTTTTTCAAAAGTATCAAGTAATCAAACTGATTATCAAATATACACTAAGTTCCATCACTCTCTATAAGATAGAATGAAAGTTATCTTGTCCCAAAGCATCGACCAAGGAAATTGCTTATCTCTGCCTAGCTTTAGCTTGATATGTTAATCATTGAATATTTTTGGTGGAAATTGGTCAAATTGCGTAATATGCTAATTAGCATAATTTCATATTTCAAAAATTGACTTAATGCTATAACTTGACTATTAAATGTTCAAATTTGGTGGAAATTGTGTCTAAATCCATGTTTTCGTGGCCTGGGAAGCAAATAAACACATTTAGAATATAATCACTTTATTACATAATGCACGTTACTTGTAACGTTAAACTGTGTGTTTAACGTTACAATTGATACAGTCTAAGAATCCTTACGCAAGTTCAAATAGGTTCAAACGCACAATTGTCAACACATATCATTACAGTTTGTATTGGAATAAGTAATTCTATGACAAATAGTGAAGACTGGACCACTAAACAGTTACCGAACAGTTTTTCTTTGTGGTTATGCGTTCTTCATTTGCATAGCGATGTTTCTTGTAATGACGTATTACACAGTCAAGCCGCCATGGCGGCCATGACACCAGCCTGTTGATATTTCGCGTAGCAGTTGAGTTTCATCAAATCATATAATTATGCGGTAAGGCTTCACCTTTATTTCAATAGGAATTGATTTATTATATGTTAAGCTAAGTGCAGTACTGTTTTGGGTCAGTTATGTGTAAATTAAGGGAGGTATAGGCCAGTAACCTTTTTGTAGTGATTTCACTAAATAAAACTTGCGCAAAGGAACTCTGTAGGGATGAGCCACTACTGTGGCTGGAGTAAGGCGGAAGACATCAGTAGTGGAACCATTTCTAAATGCACAATATGCAAATTAACAGCCGCCATTAGTGAAAAAGTTATATTTCCCCCTAAATCTGAAACTCTTTGACTTAGCTCCACGAAACCAGTATCTACGCTCATAATTTCATGGTCAAAGGTGCCGAAAAACAATAGGAGAACATCACAGTGGTATTGCATAATATAGAATATGCAAATTAGATGCCTCGGCCATGACTGAAAAATACACTTTTAGTCCAAACTCAAATCATTTGCAATAATCTGAAAAATCAAGTTCCTACACCCATGAGTAATAAAAGTATCTGTACCTCATTGTGGAGAACATTTGACTGATTGCATTAGTACCAGAGCACTGTTGTCATGGGTGGGGGGGGGGGTCACATAGCCCTGATGAAAGCAAACAAATTATTAAAACTTTATCATCAGAATTGTCTAAAACTGGTTTCGGAGGTGCTGTTATAGGATTAATAGGATTGTTCTTTAGCAAGGTAGGACTGTTTATAGATATCATCTATTTTAAGGCTTTATTTTAATACATTTTAAAAATATGAAATTGCAACTTTAATAGCTGCGGTTATTCAAATAACAAAAAGTCCTAACCGTAGGAGCACTAATTTCCACAAAGCCTAAAATAGCAATAACCAGCCGTATAACAAAATTATTTTAGTTGAACAGATCACGACACTGTTTATCAACAATGATCACGTGACTAGTCACATGCCGCAATCCAACGATTTTCATTAGTCAATGACTTCACCACTTGTTGTGGCCAGAAAAAATATAATTCTTATTTAGATAATTTTATAAATATTATACACACTGACGGCGACATGTGAAGTGGGTTGGTTAACGTCATTGTTACTGATATGAATCCTCTTCATAATGATTTTGACACGCACAATAAAACTTAAAAGAATCCATGAAGAATTATGGCCCGTAGAGTGAGCATGAGCCATATATTCACTGAACGTCCGATGTGATATCCACGTTGGACAAAATATATTGAAAGAAAATTATCGGATCATAACCAAATTCAATAAGGATAATGTTTATATGATAATGACATAATATACCTAAACACAAAAGATTCCCTGAGACATTGTAGCCTGTAGAGCATGAGCCAACTAACAAAATAAAAAAACAAGCCAACAGTGAGGCTGATGTGCCCCGCCGAAATCCCAAAATAAGTAAATGACACATATTAATTAATCGCACATTTATTTTTTTAAAAACTATCGAGCAATCAAACTATACACTAAGTTTCATCACTCTCTATCAGATAGAATCAAGATTATCTTGTCCAAAAGCATCAACCAAAGAAATTGCTTGGGTTTAGCTCGAAATGTTAATCATTGAACTCAGTCAAGACATTACCTAATGAACATCTACATCAAGTTTAAACATTCTACCTCAATTAAAAGCAGAGTTTTACTTATCGCTCCTTAGTCTAAGCAGAAAATTCGCACCATTGAACTTAGTCAAGGTAATGATAAAATAAATCTATCTTCGGAGTTTCATCGCTCTCACTTCATTATAACCAATATTATCGTACCCCAAAGCATCAACCAATCAGATTGCCTATCTCTGCTTATCATAAGCAGACAATGTCAATCATCGAACTCCACCAAGGCATTCACCTAATGAACGCCTACATCAAGTTTGAACATTCTACCTCAATAAGAAGGAGAGTTATTGTGTTCCAAAGTATCGACCAATCAAATTGCTTATCGCTCTGCTTACCCTCAGCACTTTAACGTGCACTCCAATTTGTACATGGGACCTCGGTTTTTCGTCCCATCCGAACAACTAGACAACTGACCTTGTCAGGCCCTCCATCCTGCATCACTGACAAGGGGGAAACCACGCCGGAAAATCTGGATGAACTTTCTCGGCAAATGCAGGGATCGAACACCCGACATCCAGGCTAGCGAGACAGCGTCTTACCCACGTGATCTCCCTT